TAAAGTATTACCTCCTTCAAAAAGCAAAACTTCTTTATAGCTGAAGAACCTTCATATATACAGTTGCTCTTTCCAAAGAACCACCATCAAGTTGTTATCTTGTAAATAAAAATGCTAAGACGGATGGGCGGAAAGACGCCAGGGGTATAACATAATATAAGAAATTTTTTAGGGCAATTTATGTACTCAATATAAATGCCCTTCCTATAAAGTTTGACAGTTGTAAAACTGTTAACAATATTAAAGTCATCTGATATTGACATTTGTCCTTGTGACCCCAATATAGATATGGATCTTTTATTCAATATATAGACAATCATCCTAGGAAGTTTGAACACTGTAAGCCAAATGGAACTTGTGTTATGATCCAGAAAGCACAATTTTCAATGTTAAGGTCATTTTGACCCTGACCTTTGATCTTATGACGCTAAAATCAAAAACGGTCATGTATTGGACATTGAGCGAAAACTGTTTTCAATTTTAAGGTAATAGTGACCTTCACCTTTAACCTTGTGACCAAAAATCAATAAGGGTCTTCTACCCAATATGGACAACCATTCTATGAAGTTTGAATAGTGTGGGCCAAATGGAACTTATATTATGCTCCGGAAACCAAATTGCTACCGGACGGACGGACACACGGATTGACGTTCTAACGGGACATCATATGGCTACTCTATTGTTCTTTTTAGCCACACAAAAAATAGCCACCAAAAAGCATCACGGAATGAATGACATCAAGGAGAAAGAACAGTTTCCTATTGCTCTTCTAGTCACATCATTACTGTCCCGTGAGAACGGACAGACAGACGGACGGACGCCAGGGTGTATAACATAATATATCCGAAATTCTTTCGGGCATATAAAAAGAACAGTCTATACGCATGATTTTGATTTTCACCTAGGACAAATTTTGCTATAATTATAACCTATTCAGAGACCATTGTCTGCAGTTTACAACATTACGAACGAAATACATAACTTGAGTATCCATATTTAGAACCTTGTGATAATGTTTAAAATATTTCTGGGATTAGTGAATGTAAGTCGTTAAGTCTGACAACAATTATAAAAAATTGTATCCCATGATATTCTATAGGCAGAGACGATACAAATCTTTATAGATCTATTTTGAATTCATAACTTTGTAAAATATTTCCATTAGTTGATGCAATGAATGAGAACGGGCATTGAAGAAAAAACACCGTATAAAATTGTGAATCATCGAGTCATCTTAGCAAATACTGAGTAAAATAAATAATAGTTTATATATACATGAAAATAAGTTATAACTACTGCAGCTAAGAAGTTACTATGAAAACGTGCAAAGTCCAAACAGTTCTTATTGCTCCATTCTCAATACCTATAACAATTCGAAATGAAGAAAATATAAGAACTGTTTTCAACACATACTTTGGAATGTATCATTGTAACACATTACATTTGACTAATACATAATGAGATATACGAGAGCGATTAAGAAATCGCATTATTTTTAATTATCCATGTTTTTTTAAAACAATAAGTAAAATCATTATTCAAATTTCTATCATTTAAAATATACAATTGCTTTACAGGCAAAAATTCGGCCTTATTGTGATAGTAATTACTTATAAATACGAATCATTGTTCTGATATTAAATACGTTACACAACAAAATACAATTAAACTTATTTTCATAGGTTAACAGCAAACTTCAAATGTTTACAATACAATTAAAACTGGTTTAAACATAACATTTTCAACAATGAAAATCACACCAATAATGAGAGCGTGTTCTGTCGACACATGCTCGTGATGCCTTTGAATAACATAGCAACACGAATGTGAAATTGTAAACAGACGCATTGCATAATGTTGGTATTATGTTCACTAGGAGGTGTATTTTTATTAAAATATCTCAAAAATTATTTAAATATTGACCAAACCCAATACATATTTTTTAGAAAAAGGACTTAACCGCTTGATGGATTCTGAAAATTTAGAGTTTTTAAAGAAGTCCTGTTTGATCCTGAAATTGTTGTCTCAAACAGTGCTGCATAGACTGAGAAATAAAAGTTGACGCTACTTTCACAAGATTGCAGTTTGCTATAAATCAAAATTATATATCAATAAGATACGTGCGGTTAAATAAATACCGTTATTTATTCATATTCAAAGGCATCATTCCTGACCTCATCTGATTATTTATTTGTCAACATGTAGGTTTGCTGTTTTCGAACGTAATATTTGAAAATAGTCCAATAGGATAAAAGTATTTCAAATGTATCACAGCATATTTACTTTAATCAACCGACTAAATTTAACTGTTAACCAGTCTAGCAAACCGGCAGCTCGACATAACTGTATATATAACAAAAATGTTGTAACGGAAACATTATATATGTAATCAGAAAGCTGCCCGCGCTTTTTGAAAATTTAAAATTAATACTGCGTAACCATGGGCGGAAACAGTTCATATTTACAAATGCATAACTGTTGATTTAATCTATCTAAATTGTTTATTATATATAATAAAAGTCATACTTACAGATCAGACATGTTCACGAAACGTTTTGAAGGTAAATCTTTTTATCAATCCATATAAATTAGCAAACAGAAAATAATGTTATAGACATTACAAATATCACAATGTGTATATTGATTGAAATCCCGCGATACATGACAACAAGCCGTGTCGTATACATTCAATTTATAAGATAGCGCGGTAATCGTTAAACCGCGTTGATCTCGTGGAAGACAATTGGACAGTTTACTTCCTCAATACAGTGGTATAAAGTTGAAGTACAAAAATTTAAACGTCGGGCAATGTTCCAATAATTTTGCAAAAGGTCAATTATTGAACGATTTTAAAGTTTAAGATCAGTTTTAAATTTTATGTTAAACCTTTTTCTTTTTTTATTCGCAGGTTTATCAATGCGCAAACGTAGGTTATCGATTTATTATGATAATGGAAATCGCCATAATGATATTTTAAGTTTAACCTAGTTTACATAAATGGGGAGTTAATCTTACTAATCTGACATGTGAATCATTTCCCTTTATCCACCACCCTTGAAATAAACATGATAAAAGACCAATGTTTGATCAAGGATGGGCTATTTTGAGACCTTCTAAGTTAATCAATAGCTTGACTATAAGCAAAGAAAAAATGCCTATTTCGTCCCCTCCACAATTTACATGTAATTTTAAGTGACACATTATGAGACAAACATCTACGAAGCTCAATAAAATTTCTGCGCAGTCACTTTAAACTTTAAACAGTCTGAGCGGAGTTCGAACCAATAACAGTGGGAGACAAGCTATTGAAAATAAAAAGCATTTTATTTCAAAATGCCAAATTTTGTATAACATAGTGGGAAAGAAAATCTTTTTGCTTCGGATCTTGTGTCTATGTGCACGTAATTTGAAAATGTTGTTTTTGTAAACAAACCTTATACCAATGTGTATGTCTGAATTTTAGTTATCAAATTAAAGCAAAAATGTTTGAGTTTGATCTTCATTATAATCAAGATGAGTTCATAATTCAATAATCATGCAAAATAATGAGCCCCTATCTTTCTAGTCCCTTATGACGTATAAGAGCCTTTAGTATTCGGCGTTTTAAATAATTGATACATCCTTTGTTTAATTCAAAGTTGGGCATTTTCCAATTTAAGATCAACAAAATATGTACTAAAGCATATGATTGATAACAAGAATGCTTTGTGAATCACAAAGAGGTTGTAACGGGGTGAAGTATATGTTAACAGATCTTGAGTGGATAGTTTGGAGACGTTGTGAAGACTAGATGTAAATGAAAAAAATCTGGATAAAGTGTGATCCCTCGGAAGCATGAATCACAACAAATTAACATAAAAAGTGAAGCCTTGATTTGATTGATTCTGTACATGAGGGACAATAAAACAGTGCAACATCCATCACGTCATTTTGCAACGACTTGCTTAAAAAAGTGCTGGATTAAATTATCCCGATGGACCAGAAAAAACAAAACAACACAGAAGTGAAGTAGGGCTCTATTTTATCAACGACTTTTGACTTCTGCTGTTGTCTTGTTAATTTAAAACGAGAGCAGATTCCTTACTCGCTATCTGAGATTCAACACTGTAATGATAGAATTATTAGTCTATATAATTATGTTAATAATCAAAGGTTAAACAGTGAAGACTTTTATCTTGTGTTGAAATCTTAAATGCGATATAAATTGTTACAGTTGTGTGGTTAATTTTAGAGCAAAATAATAAAAATGTTTGACTTATTTTATTAAATATATATAGAAAATATATTTTTTTATTAAGCTGTCGTTTGGATATTTTTCGCACAGCCTTAATAGGTTATTTAAACTTTATATTTTAACTATATAAATTTATCTTTCCCGGTTGACCATTAAAAGCGAAATAATCAATTCATTAGACTTGTCATGTTGTTAACCTTTCAAGTAATCGATATATTATTTCGATGAATGAAGAACAGGCTAAATAATAAATATCAAACTTGTCGTAAAATACGCACAAACTAATCAAGTTACAGTTATCTTTGTCATGATAAAGTAAGGACGAACTTATCGAATGAGGGTTTTTGTCATGGTGAATACTTAAAAAAAATAGTCAATTTATATAACCTGGAAAACCAAAAGTTTAAGTTTTTATTATAGTCATATGTTAATTATGATATTTTGATAAAGATATATACTCGTGTACGTACAACAATAAATCATCGGAATTCAGAGTGACACTATTCAAATGTCATAGATGGCACTGCATAAAATCTACGAGCAATTATTCCTCCAAATGTTGTAACTAAAGGCTATAACTTAAGGCAATGTTTATAGAATGTGTCTTTCCGTATACGTGTATATTAATTTTATACCATGATATAATATTATGATACTAACATACTCAAAAGTATCCTTTTTAAATAGAGTATACAACCATTAAGTTGTGTTATGATAGTCACAAAACACAAACATAATGTAATAAAAGGTAGTTATATCCCAAATTAAAAGTGCGTCATCTTATCTTGATCATCTCCATTTCCATTCCCATTCTCACTCATTCCTAGAAAACGATCATTATTAAGAATCTTGTCACTATCTTCTTTAATTTCATTGCCACTGTTTTCATTCATCACCATATCATTGTCCTTACTCTTTCCCAGATCGCCATCAATCTTCTCTAAAGCTTTATCCTCTTCCATTGAAACAATGATATCATCACTCGCCACCTCGTTCATTCCCTGTGCAATCCCTTTACTAAGGATATTGCCTCCTTCAAATAAATACAACACTGGCCAAACAATGTAATCTATGAATTTCCCAGACTTTGTGTAGGGTTTGTAAATGTCTGTAGAAAGACGTTCACCGTGCATATCAATTTTGACGTCTATATAGACTGGCGGGTCCTGTATGGACATAAGCCAACACACAGACACGCATTTTTCTATGAACTTTGCAATTAACAACGCTTCTTCTTCTGTAATTACATCGTCGAATGAGAATTTACAATCCTAAAACAAATATAAAAATTATACAAATAAGCCAACTGCGGATTTAAAGATAATAACTGTATGTGTGTGATCTTTATCATATATTTAAAGTAATTAAATGAACTCTAGTATAGATGGCATCCCTTAAACACTTTTAATATATCTATGATCCAAATATAGTTTAAAGACGTTTATTGTGTTTGTAAATATCGTTTTTTTATGAAATTACCTGTAAGGTTTCAATGAATTAAATAAAGAAATGGTCATTTGTATAATTTGCTTGTTTTATTCATGCGCAAATTTAACCCTTAAAATGAAAAAAGGCCATAATAATAGGGAATGATTGGAAAAAAAACTGTTTTATATTGTTATCTGTTTAGAATGAATATTAACATTTATTTTAACATTTCGCATACTGCCAGAGTTTTTTCTTCTTTTGTCTTTTCAAGATACCTTCATAAGTTGCTCCACCATTCCAGCATAATGCTTTTTCCTGTCATCTTTTATGGCTCTCATAACTTCTTTAGAAGGCGCACCCATCTGATAAAACAAGTTAGTCTTTGATCATAATATGTTGTTTATATCATTATAATCGTAAGTCGTTAATTAATAAATTTATTAAAAGAATTGTGACGAAAACTGGTTTAATTTACTTAAAGTAAAACTGACAGTGAAACATCCTTACTGGTCAGTGATCTGGTTAGACTTCTGTGTGAGAAAGAACACGAAGTTTTTGTACAGCTGCTACTCATGATTACGATTAAAGGTTAATGTTTTCATTATAAAAGTCTAGGAGAAATGGGACATCTGTTTGAGTCATGATACGTAATGATGAGTGTATCATATAATAATACACCATCGCCTTTTGAAAAGCTGCTGTAGTATTTGAGTTAAAAAAAACTAATTGGTAACAGTATTCGTCAAGTACCAGAAATACATAATACAGATAGATGAATTTGGAGGCACATTTGTAGATCTGCCATGCAAAAACCATTACACCTGTCATTGAAATGGTAGGCACACTATTGATCACCTATGATTGATTCAATTCATGCCAGCTAGAAATAAGTGCAATCTCTCAAGATCATTACCATTGGCTTCAGCCGGTGCTAGGGGGCGTGGACGGTAACTTGCACTTTCCAGTATCGTCCATGAACAGGCTCAATCAAACCGAGCCTGCAACATTTTACAATTTTGCCATGTTGGGCTTTCTTTACGGATTCTGTATTTCTCTATTTCAGCAAAACTAAACTGAGTTTTTAACGATGTTAGAACTGGTACCAGTTATATAAAATAACAAGAAATAATATTATTACCCCAAACAACTCTACTGAGAGCTTTTGCATCATCATTTGCAGGTCACCGCTTGCCTTTTTGTGACAGATGGAAAATATTTTCTAAAAATAAGACGATTTTTCGTTTAATCAAACTTCTCTTAAGTCAATATAAAGTTCAAGTAATCGTTTATAAATAAAGTTATTGACTTTCGACCTTTTTTCCTTCTTTTGATAAATAAGTATCACAACATTTTAAAGAATTTTTTATGTGTAAAGATTCAAATGAGTCAACGTCTTTTCTTTGTTCTCTGATAATTATGAAAAACTTTTACGATAACAAGCGATACGGTAGAACAATACCTAAATACAAAAATATTATATTCAAATATATGAGTAGTTTGGAGGCATCTTTATCGATGTTGTTTGTCACTACGTGTAGACTTGGCATGTGTTGGTCATGCCTGGATTAATTGTAATATTTCTTGACCTCTTGTAAATAGAAATTGCACTATTATAATAGTGTTTTAATATGGACAAGGAATTATAGCTTTATTCCAGGTATATCTGTTTTGCTCCTCATACAAAACTTTTGAATTGATGAAACAGCATAATACAACGATTGAAAGAAGCAGCAATTAATTGACTTACATTTAATACATTCAGCAGTTTTGTACAAGCTTCTTTGTCATTGTTACTCTCATCTTGTTCCTTCGCGAGAGCATCAAATGCGTCAGTCCATTCATTGTCATATAATTCTGAAAATTGTTCCGCTAACTTTGTCGGCCGATTCACATCACTCAGATCCGCTATATTCGGATTGTTGTCCGTAAGCTTTGCGCTCGCTACAGCACTGAGTCTGTATCAAAAAAGTAAAAGCTGATTTCATACAAATAGTTTCTTTATGTTCAATAGGAAATAGAGTTTAGTCAAAACCGAAAGACAAATGACGTATTATTAAAAAGAGCTTTTTCGAGCAAACAATTAAACACTTGTTACTGTGTCTATTGTCGTTTATAGATGTTATCAAATGTGTCGTTTGTCACAAATGCAAATGTGCCCCGTTTGTGGTCTATGTGTTAATAGATTTATTATTAGATCTATAATGATCTTTTTTCTAGGTAGATTATTTTTACTGGGTGATCTCGAATCATTATTGTAGGATAATTTATCTATAAATTGTTTTTCGATTTTAATACAGATTCATCATTAAATAAAGCATCTTACCTCGAAAGAAGTTCATTATTGTTCGTTTCAAGATCTTTTACTTTCTGTTTCAGCTGATAATTTTCTGCTTGGAACCTGTCAATTTCCTCTTGATCTCTTAAAACAAATACACATTTGTATTAACTGACATAATTAAATACAGATATTATAAATTCTATAAATAGTGTCTTATTATGCTTTGTAACACGTGACCATCCAATATATGTCTTGAACTGAGACTGCGAGGCAAATATATTGTAGTTCATACATTGATGAAACAAGGTCAAATCATACAAGTATATTGATACCAGAGACAGAAATCATGTATTTAAACACAGGTAAAAATTAATATATTGATATACAAGAGACAAGTATCTACAGTACAAGAATATATATATATGTATATCGATAACAGAGAGTGAGAGAGTTCATATATAGGTAACATTTCGCACACAGCCAATAAGAAGTTATATATTGATAACACAGGAAAACTATTATAGAAATAACACTTGGCTGTCGGTGGGTGATCTCGAATCATTATTGTATGATAATTCTTCAATAAATTGTTTTTCGATTTTAATACAGAATCATCATTAAATAAAGCCTCTTACCTCGAAAGAAGTTCATTACTTTTCGTTTCAAGATCTTTTACTTTCTGTTTGAGCCTGTCAATTTCCTCTTGATCTCTTGAAACAGATACACCTTTGTATTAACTAACATAATTAAATACAAATATTATAATTCTATTAATATTGTCTACTGCTTTGTAGCACGTGGCCATGCAATATAAGTCTTGAAATGAGACTGCGTGGCAAATATATCATATTTCATACATCGATGAAACAAGGTCAAATCATACCAGTATATCGATACCACAGACATAATTATGTATTTAAACACAGGTAAAAAGTAATATATTGATGATAAAGAGATAAGTATCTACAGTAAAAGATAATATATAAATTATCGATAAAAGAGAGTGGGAGAGTTCATATATTGGTAATATTTCGCACACAGCCAATAAGAAATAATATATTGATAACACAGGGATAACATTATAGAAATAACATTTGGCTGTCGGAATGACAGAGGTTATAGTCGACCCGAGAACTGGTATATTACCCCGAGGCAATATCAATTATCACCCCGACAGCCATGCGTTATTTATTTTATTGTACCGAAAGACCTACAACTAAAACATTTATAAAATACGCAGTCAAGAAATAAATACAATACACATCATCATTTTTACAATGTAATTTTGCTCAAACCAATAAACATTACAAAAACAGTACAAGAATGATTTATACCCTTCTGCTCAATATAGAGTTATGTAAGGGTTATGTGCCCCTGGTTGATATAAGAAATATTCTCCGGAGAATATATCCTAGATATTCAATCAGAGCATATAATAGGCCTATGGGAGTTTGACATTGAATGATATATTGGTGTATAATGAAGTTAAATATCATTCCGTGGATTTTAAAATTCATTTGTTTCCAGATGAAATATGAGATCGGATTGTTAAAGACTAAACCACTCAAATTATTTCGGCAGATTTTTGCTTTTGCTGTTGCTATTTTGATTTTTTAAAAGGTGCGGTTTACAGTATGCATATTAAATATTAAATATATTAAATGACTCATTTTAAGTGATTTACTTATTTTGTTATGTACTTACTCTTTTATGTACATATTAATAATAACAAATTAAGCTTTTTAAAACATAAAAAAACAAATATACACTAATGTTAGTCTCATTTTGCATATTAACCCCATATGCTTGTTATATCGTTTACACTCAGCGTTGCGTGCAAACGTTTCATTTAACAAAAAAGTTGTGTATCTATATATAACCTTATACGTCTGGGTATTGAAATAAAACATGACAAAAATATTCGTTAAAATGATATCTTAACTTTTAACAACGATATCCCATAGCAGTTTGATGGTATGTTACCTCTCTTATCTTTGAGCGTTTGTAACCTACATACATTTAAAGCATGAAGTTAATATATCGGCATCCATTAATAATATTAAATTGTTAAAATAATAATCAGCATAAGTCTATGTGCGTTTGGTTCAAGATCAGAAACATGTAGTTTCAAAACAAACAGAAAGTGCCCACAAATTTAATACTCTGTGATTATTTATTTCTAACATAATTATATAAAATACATTTTTTTTGTATTTTACCGAGCTTAATTCTAACAAAATTGCATTAAATAGCTTGAACAGTGACTATTGTGTAACATAGTTACGTACATGCTTTAAACTTGTAATCAAGTTGAATATGCAGTTATTTTATACCGATTCTGCACATTTATTATAATAAATTAGCATACACATACTTCTGAAGCCTTGCTTGAAGATCTTTTAGTTCTCTTTCCTTCGAGATCAGCGCGTTTTTATTTGCTTCATTGTCAGGCATGGTACACCTAAAATAAAAATAAATGTTTATGTATCATAGGCACAATGAAAATTTTATGAAAACGCTAGACCACAAAGTATTTTAAAGTAAACAAATTGTAAATATGCAACGCCAATCTTTGATATCTGTTTCTTATTTGTTTTTTACTTTACTTGAATGTTTGAAGTTTAAGATCGGGTAATAATTTATCCCTTATGAGGACTGCTATGAACAGCCAAATTAAGGGCAGATCTGAAAACTTGCGAGGCAGACTGACATACGCCCTCTTTAGGATATAACTATACAACTATAAATAGTTTAAACAATTAAGTGAATCATATATAGCAATATTTATTGGTAAATAAATCAAGTGTTCTCAATGATACAAGTTGATAATTCGGCCGAATCGGTAGAAAATCTGTTTCTTTCATAAATGACATAGCAAGGTGAGCGTATTGAAAGGTTCTCAATTCAATGCCGATAAAGCGTGATGCGCATGCGTGTAATTTTGCACAATCAAACAAAATAAAAACAACATTTTTAAAGGGAAGTTCACGTATGACGATAATAATATGAAAGCATGTTAGTATATAAAAGCCATTAACAGCTTCAAAACCTTTTCACTATATATGGAATACAGGAAAATAATAGGGAAAAAAACACATATATATTTACAAATTATGAGTCCCATTTGTATACTTCTGTGTGGACTGTGGCTGTGTTGTCACTGGTTGGTTTCCATTATGTCGGCCCGTTGGATCTAAACGCATAGTTTCCTCCCTGGTGCCAGAACAGCAACAACAGTCTGACATAGCCTCGTTTTAAATTTATATGTCTAAATCGAAAATGAAATAAAACGAATAACATAAGTTTCTACACTAGTCAAATCAAAATCGAAATTGAACGGCAATTTTTTCTATCCACTGTGTTTTTATCCGTACACAATCTACTATTTACATGTGACATATTCCAATATCGATATATGAAAGCATAAATTACAAAATACCCAACCAACCCGGAAGATAATTAATCATTCGACCGACAAGGCTTTTAACGTAAACAACCCGTCGCTAAATTATACATTTAGGTTAAGACTCAAATTATATTCATTTACCTGATAAAGGGAAACAATTTCATGAAATCAATTACTGTAACCCAACGAATATTCGCGACCAATTAATATTCGCTTTATTCGCGGATGGCCACGAAGCGCAAATATTTGTTTGCGCGAATAAGTCCGCACGATTTCGCGAATAAATTGGAGAGAAATTTTTATTTTAGACGTTGTTCATGCAAAGATATTTGACCGGATATATTCGAATTTCACGGGCACCTGTTAGGAAGTAATGAATTGTTATGAATATTGCCATAAAGCAATAAAAACACTAACTAAGTGAACTGCTACTATTTTATCAATATCAAAAGAACTCTATGTCAATATAGCAATCAAAATAAACATCCACATTTGAATACAGTTTATGAAATACGTATTAGTAGGCCTATTGTCAATCACGTTCCGTATAGGGTACTATACGGAGCATGTGTCAGTTTTAAGTTTCTTCATATTTACACTTCTATACTAAGTATATGCATACAAATCGTTTGACAAAAGTGGGAAAACTATCGAGCATCACAAAAGGCTATTGTTTTTTGGATCCTATAAAATAATTGTTTGAGTGAATTGTTAAGACAAATGTGGTATAAACCTATCGAGCATCACAAAAGGCTATTGTTTTTTGGATCCTATAAAATAATTGTTTGAGTGAATTGTTAAGACAAAGGTGGTATAAACCTATCGAGCATCACAAAAGGGAATTGGGTGTACAAACAGTGAAATACAAGATGGTTTCATACTAGTATCGATTTTTACCCGTCAAACTGAGTGCATTCTGAGGGTTTATTTTTTATCAACCACCCTTTTAACGACATGTTTAGAAATGAAGACGAACGATGCGTACATGTACATATATAGAGAAAATGTTTTGCTGAATTGTGTACCAATACAATATAAGGCTAGCGTATTGTTAATTTCATTTAAGACACCAATAATGACCTCAATTATTGAAGATTAATAGTCGGCTAATGGATTTTACGCCCCCATCGGACTTTCCAATCCGCGAATATTTTTTTTCGGAAATCAAGAAAACGCGGAAATTAATATTCGCGAATATGTCCGACCTCGGCAAAACGCGAAAATTTGTATTCGCGAATATAAATTGGGTTACAGTAAATTGTTTACAAAATGCATTTATTATAATATCTATATGTTTTCAATTAGTGAAACCACACCTTTAAAAAGCATAACTATTCATGCTATTTGTGTTTGTTTAAATTGAAGCAATTTTAAATCGTCTTCACACCTGAATTTATCTTAATGGTACATATATATCAATGAATATGTACATGTTGTAGTACAAGGGCATATTAATTATAAACTTTATCTTAAATAAGTATGTCTTACCTTTCCCCCTTCTAAGTCGTCTATAATTCAGGTCATGGTTATTCATAACTTCGGCTCAATAATCGATGCGAATGATTTCAAAATTGATATTTGTTTCATTATAATATTGTATTTTTCTGATTAATTTGTATTTTTCTTTCTTTCCTTTGTAATTAAGATTAAGCGGGTGCTTTTACAATATATGAATTTTATAATGCTGACTTCGTTAATTTTATCTTAGAAGTTCTAAAATCCACAAGTAACTAATTATGTTACCATTAAGTCAATACATGTACGAAAAACCTTTAGGGATAGATCCTAGATAATGTTATACTGGATAATGTTGGTATAACTTTGGGACCAACCATTTTGTATGTACATCGAATTTATACTTCAGATAATGATGTTAAATTGTGTTCATTTTATCATGTACAGATAAAAAAAACTTTTATAAAATGAACATTTTAAACCTTTTATTGTTTAGTAATGATATCAAGACTTTATGATTATGAGATTATATAGTAAGTAATAATTACTTTCCCCTTATTGCGTTGCGAATTAATAAGTACAGAACTTAATTCATTACATCTGACTTAAAAGGTATCAAGTTAAGGCTTCTGAAGTTATGACAAAACCACAAATTGACAATGGTGCTGCAAGCATTTGTTTGGGATCTGTTTATCAAATTCAAAGAAAAGACCCATCATACCCTGTTTTTATTGATCAGGGTCTTAAGCCCTGCGTGATTGTAAGAGACGATTGAATGGGTTCTAATAATTAGAGTCTATGGATGTCTTAGTCCCAACAGATGATAGGGTTTCGACCCTGCTTTAAGTATAAAGTTTGTAACACACGCTGTAAGTCAAAATGATATTTCCTTTTTCGGCGCAATAAGAAACACAGTAAGTAGTATTCATTGTTACATGAATATAAAAATATCGGGAATTCAAATAAATAACAGTCATTCCTACACTGTAATTTTACCCTGGGTTTGTTTTTGTTTTAATTCAGATGCAATTTTAACTCGTTGTCTGTGTTGACAAGAAATACATCATTGTAAATTTCGTTGCATGCAATGTCCTCGAATCTTCACAAATAAGACCACCATTTACCACTAATATAAACATAATATCACCAGTACATCATTCTGTTGTTAAAATCTGCATGCATTCATAGGCAAATAAAAAAGGAACTATTGATCTAGATACACTTTTTATTTACAGTTCTTAAGATACAAAATAAAATGATAAACTTTACATAAAAATATGTTAAAGCCACTGACCTCCAGATGGTAAAATGAAAACAAAAATCAGATTACTAATAAATGGTAAATGTGTAAATTCGCTATGACTGACATCTTAATTCAAAAAAGAATGTTCACAAAAGAGTCAATGTATCATGTCTTTCTTTTGCATAATCTACCACTTTACTAACGATGTAGATAATATGAATAGAGAGAAGATAACTCATTAAACATGGTCACGTGTCACACAGTGAATCAGGAAAAATCCCGGTATCCGATATGCCGGGATTGTATATAAATTTTCGTCATTGAGTAGGCTATGTTATTTCAAGGATAAGTTTAAATAGATAAATTGATCATCAAATATAATCAATTATTTATAGTGTTTTATACCACAAATTACTAAAACTATCAAACCAAAACAGTGTTGTTTCCCTTTAAGTTTTATATCTTCCCGGATTCCGCGCATTCCGGACCACAGGTCGCGATATTGTCCCGTACACTCACGAGGTACTAGAAAAGAACCTTGATGAAAGAATTCGTAGTATAATAAATGAAGGTATTTCCCATTGACATAATAGAGAACTGTTTATTTTCAGGAAAATAAATGATAAAATATGAACATTTTGAAGTGTCATTTCGATTTCTGATTATTATAATAATGCTTTTAAAGAGAGATTTTGAAATATTTGTAAAACGGTTTGTTTTTCTGTTATCTTCTGGAGATCAGCTGCTTTAAATTCATAATGCACGATATGCGTATTATACAGAGAAAACGAATAACAGGAAACAAAACAACAACAACAACAACACAGAATAAAACAACGAAAAGAAAAACCCACAAAAAACAACGAAAATATAATATATGGAACATTACAAATTTTATTAGATATACTGTATTAAAAAAATGAATAGTAAACTAAGGAGATGGTTAACAAGGTCAGTAACTGTAATAATGATTATACAAAGCATCATAATTATTTGACACAAAGTAAGAACTGCTTCATTGGATATCGATTGTATATGTATGTCACATTTTATCCATCAGCTAGTTAAAACACAATACACATTCTTGATTATATGAAAGAATAAGTCCAATGTACAAATGTATCATGATAAGACATTTTAATTTTGGTCCCTGTTATGTAATAAGCTAATAAACAAATTTTCTCAAAATCCTGTTTAAAATTATGCATGTATATGCTCATCAACGGCTTGAAGAATGACTTATACTTAGTATCTATGAAGTAGATGCTTTCTTCATTTCAGAAGTGAAGAAAAAAACATGAGTATTATTCATACATTTAATGATTTGTGTTAGCAATTTCATTTACATCTTTGAATTATTAACAGTTACTGATTTATATTTTCCAGCCGGTTGTTGTTTACTTCCTGATTGTTGGTGAGATTGCCATTCCGATAATTTCATTCTGTCCGATTTATCATCTGTTGAGAATGAGCTTGATTTTCTACCAGATTCATAATTACTTTTTGCCATTAATTTCTGTGATGACATTGTTGAACTTTCAGAATCTTGTTTTTCTTGAACAGCATTTGATTTGATATTGGTGAATGATGAAACCCTTCTAGCGGACATTCCTGTTTGTTTTGATTTGGGCGCATGAGTTTCAGAAGATGTACTCGTTTCCATTCTTTGTAAAACAGATTCAGCGGATGCCTCTGTTAATTTTTTGGTTGAATCTGATGCAGGGTTGGTATTATCTGAAGCAGATTTTTCATTTTTAGGTTCACCTTTTGCAGGTTTAATAATAGATGCAGCATTTCCAGCGGATGTTTCTGTATGTATCCCGTTTGTATCTGATTCTGGTTGTAAATATTTTGTTGCAACTCTTTCATTTACAGTGTAATTGGTGTATTTTGTATCTGGTTTTGATGAGGACTTGGGTGTAAGAGATAAGCGGTTCACTTGGCTTCGAAGATTTTCTACATAATCAAAGAGCTGGCTTTGCGTTTCATGTTTCTGTTTCTTTCCTTGAGCAACTCCTTTATTCAATAAGCTCCCTCCTTCATGAAGATACAATGCAGGCCAGACTATAAAGTCAACATATTTGCCCTGTACCGTATACGGTTTAAACAAATTTGTTTCGAAAGGTTTGCCCCTTAGTGACAAATTTGTGTCTACATATAATGGGGGGTCTTGAATTGCCATCAGCCAGCACAGTTCGATGCTTTTATCAAGGAATGATTCGATTCCTTTCTGTTCTTCGGAAGGTATAACTTGTTGCATTTCAGAAGTGTATAACTAGAAATGGAATGCAAACATTAATTCAATCAATCATCAATTCACCAAATCAGTATCTTAAAAACGTGTTTAAAGGCACATACCGTCATTATTTAGAATAAGTGTTACATTACTTGTATTTTATCACGTTGCTAGCTATGTAATTCAATGACAATTTATTTATATGACAGATATTTTAGGCATTTGAATATCACAATATTTTACTTACTTGAAATCAAGATGATTCTTTTTATATATCATATTATACGATTCTCTAAAAAAAATATATAAAGATAAATGTAGAATATTTATCTGATTTCTAGAATTTGACTTACCTGTTTGATTTCTCCAACCTTCATTCTGGGTCTTTTTTTCCTTCTATCTTTTGCAGTCTTGATCATTTCTCTTGCAAGGTCGGCGGACTGGAGGCAAAATCATTGATATAACGTGATTAATAAGAACATGTTATTAAAACTATATTCACCCCTATCATATGCATTACAACTCCTCTGTATCTATATTTTGATGAAACACTAATAACAATATTATAATAATGTATTTATAAAATTTATATTCTTTCTGACAATGTTCTATGAAAACTCAATGTATAAATACTAATGATAGCGTGTAAATACTAAATAGTACATGGCATATGGGGCATCCGTGACCGAGTAGTTAATGTCGCCAGGGTTTTCGATTTTTGTCAAATGAAAATGCTATCGAACTAGTTAACGGAACGTAGGTGGTTCTATTCAGGTGCCCGTTTGTGCCTTATAAATAATATGCAAAGGGAACCTGAGGTCTACTCCAGCAGTTAAAGTGGAATCAAAACAAAATTACACTTATATACGAGTTTTTACTAATGAATAAGATTACCTCATATAGTTCATCAATAGCAGAGATAAAAGCTTTTAAGTCAGCATCAGCTTTCTTTCTACATGTTAAATATATTACCTGCAAATATAAATGAAAACAAATCATAAACTATTAAAATCGAGAAGATATTCATTATCATAATGACATACATTTTATGTAATTGTTTAGAAAAATACTGCCTAGCGGAGGCTACGTTCCACTTTTTCTTATTCTCAAAAAGTCAAACACATTAGAGGGAGATTGTAGGAAAGAGTACTTAATGAATACATAATAATTTAATTTTGAAAAATTATAATGGAATTCAAATCTTATATTTACACATTTGACCTTAATCATCAAGAGTATTCAATTCAAAGGTAACGAAAACATTTGAATTACCTAGAATGTAAGTTTTGTTATAATTATATATTTTTGTCTAAGAATGAATCAAGCCAAAAAAGAAATACCAAAAGTCAATTTAAGCACATTCCAGTAATAAGACCTTGTCGGCAAATGTCAGTTAAAGGTTAAAAACATATCAGAATAATTCAACTAATTCGTTTTGTCATATGGGTTCTATTGTCCAAATATAAAGCAAATCTCTAAATAAATAACAAAATATTTGACAACTTAACAAATTCAAATATCTGACCCCTGCGGCCAATGTTAATTATAGGTCAAGGTATTATCAGGGATATTCAGCATCTTTGATTTCTAAACTATGCTGTTTGGTCAAATTATGAATCAAATTAGTAAATAAACATCAAACTTATAACAAATTAAGCAAATTGCAATTATGTCACATTGACGGCCTTAGTCAAATATAGCTCAAGGTCATATTTAAATTATTCAATATATGGGTCATTTTGTTCAAGTTAAAAATCAATAATGGTTGTTCTAACTAAATTCAAAATTTGATCTTGGCAGTCAATGTCATGTATAGGTCAACGTCATTTTTAATGAATTGCATGTCAGTTATGTCATAAGTGGTCTATTTTCTAAGTATAAATTAAATCTATACATACAATTTAATAACAAGGTGACGGCCGAAATTTACTACTTTGACCTTTAGGGTTTATGTCAAGGTCAAGTTCAATTGAATCTTCTTTACTGTTTTGTCACAGGAATTATTTTGCACATTCAAGTGTATATGAAGACAACGCATTTATTGATTGCCAATGTATAGCCAAATATAGCAAGAAACTGTAATATTACACTAAATGGAACTTCAATGTCAAAATAAGTTGTTGTCAATGTCACATTAAGTTTGATCTTGTAAAATTTTCTTTAAGTAGTTGTGCTCAAGTCTAAATACACCCAATTCCTACATAACAAAATTAGTTATATCGAAACAGTTATATCGAAAATCAAGCGATCAAGGTCAATGTCACCATGTATAAAGACAATTCAATGTAAAGCAAAATTCAAACATTTGACCCTGAAGGTGAGTCCTGGTCATATTCAGTCGGGCCAGTGTTAATCATTTTAGGACGACAACGGCAAAGAAACGGATGGAAAATATATTGAAATCTAAACGCAGTGCAAAATGTTTTTTGGAAGTATGATTATTATAAACAAAATTAGCATATCTAATTAAGCTGTAAAGTAAAATGACTATCCTTTACATTTTATGTGTGAACTAGTCTTAACATTTTAATATATAATGGCCAATAAGATTCTCAGATTTCATTTTGTAATTTTAAATTGACCAATGAAATATATTCTTATATTCAGTTCTTCACTGTAAATTTTACAGGAAGTCAAACTGATTTTAGGTGGCATTTTGCCGGAAAAATAAGTATATTTAATGCAATCTAGAGCTCCATCCGGCAAGAAAGTGCTACACCTCGTACGCTTGTATATTTTAAATCGTCTATGATGACGTATAGTCATAACTACTGTATATATAAAAAACAGGTCAGAATGAAATGCACTTCCTCTACTAACCCCTCCACACATTCAATACTTACACAAAATGCATTCACTAGTATAGAACAAAGTTCCTCCTCTCCCCTTTCCTTAATCGAACTAAGGTAAGTGAATGCATCTGTCCATTGATTATCGTAAAGTTCTGAATATTTCTCAGAAAGTTTGGTTGGTCGATTTTCATCGCTCAGGTCGGCAATATTTGCATTTCCGTCGGTCAATTTGTTTGCCGCTAATGCGCTGAATCTTAAAGAAATTCATTAAATCAAAATTAAAGTATAAACTGTTCTTACAGACTCACACAACCGTGACATTTACTTACAAATTTTCACAATTTGATTAAAAGCAGCTCTTAAAAACCGCTTAAATAAAAGGATCTGACCGACAACGGTTGGGGTAGGCTTCTCGTGACTTTCAAAAAGGACAATCAGTGGCAACTATCGCGATATTGGCATTTTATCAATTTTTGTTTATAACTTTTAGGAGACAGGTACTTGCATGTTATTTGGTATTATGGGTTAAGTGGTGGCACTCTTGTATTTTTATATAAACGTGAATCAACGCTAAAATATGAAAAAAGTCCCGAAGTGTTCCGAAGAGACTATACACTTAAATCAGCGTTTTAGATGCTGACTTAATCACATGTCTTACTGTAATGATGATGTTGTTTTTATTTGTTGGATGATTCTCTGTAACGGCTGATTTGATTGGTTTGTCTTAAATTGCTTTATCTGAAAATCTAATATAATAGCTACAATGCGAAAAGACTTGCCGACGTTTAGAACTTGATGTAAACATACGAATATTAACTTTAGATTTAATATTTGGCATTCAGTACTTTGTTTATACGTCTCTCATTACCTGTGCAGTAAGAAATATAGTGTCTTTATGAAAACAGCTTAGATGTATATACAAACATTGTATTATCTTTAAATACGCAGTTATGTAAGTGAAACAAACATCGTTATATATCTTATGCTGTTTTAATCTAATATATCATTTCATTACAGTGACTGTCAAATTCTATAACGACAAATGTGATTGTTATCCAATTCAAACTACTTATGGTACAATATATTTGGATTATAAATGTAAAAAAAGTAAGAAAACACCTGCACAATGTGATATATCATCTGATGACACTGTTTTCTATTCTTCTTAATAATTATATGTTCTCGATGAAGTACATAATATTACTATTATAACGGCTAGTTACCTTGTAAGGAGATCGTTCTTTTCTTGTTTTGTCCTTTCCAGTTCGTTCCGAAGAGAATCGTTTTTAACCTCTAAAGAATCAAGTGTCATTTGATATCTGTATAAAACAAAATGGATTTCAGTAAGTTATATTATAGTGATAATTTTACAGCGGCTTTCATTTAATTATGCACACTATTGTTATCAATATTTTAGAACAGATAGCGCGAAACACGACAGTACAATATGGACAATAAGGCAGTACGATCATGATATCACGAAACTACAGTTGCGAAAAGAGTAAACACGATAGTACGAGTGTGACAATACGACAGTTCAAAAGTACGGTGGAGAAGCACGACATAAAACGATGATAGTCTATTGTACTGAATTAATGTCTATCGTACAGTCCCCATCATACTGTCACCTTCGCATTGTCGTACTGTTACCATCATACTGCCATCGTACTCTCGTGTTGTGACCATCGTCCTTACGTATTGTCACTATCTTACTATATCCGGCCTTAAGCATGTACATTATGAAATAATTACTTGGAACAAAACGTTGAAAGAAGGCGACAGTACGATGATAAATCGCAACAGAACGATGGGCTAACCCTCACGGAATACCGTAGAAAACTGTAAAATTTATTTTTATGCTAAATAGATACTAAAGGTATTCTTATAATTTGATAAGGAGCATTATCTTTATTCTTTGTTGTATGAGCATCTATCTTATCCTAAAACATAATACATGTCTGTTACATTTTGATGCGGAGATATTTATCAGATAGAAAATATAAAACATTATTTTCTTACCTCTTTCTCCGCTCTTTTTCCTTTTCATGTTGGTCTTTTTCAATATTTTTCATTTGTTCTTTTATTTGTGATATTTGATTTGATTTGCTTTGTAACTCCTTCTTGTAACTGCAAAAAAAACTTAAGGCTTACATTTAGCTAGGTACTTTTAAATAACAACAATAGATAAAAAACAAAATTTAATAAGTCTTACATCTCTTCCCTTTCTTTTTCTCTTCTATAGTTATCCTGTTGAATATTTTTCAGACGTTCTTGAAGTTGTGCTGTTTCACTTGTTTTGTCTTGTAGCTCCCTTTTGTAACTGTGAAAGAAAAGAAAAATATTTCTTATTTTAGATACCTGACTGTAAATATGGTAATAAATATTGTGTATACTTATATATTCTACTACATGTTTTATGTTGAAATGAGAAAATGTATTATATCGAAAAGATGGTTGTACTGAAAGTGAGTCTCTGATCCGAATATGTTGAAAAGCAAGAACTGGAAAATTTGAAACACCAATGGTAAACGTTAAATATCAAATTATGAATATATATTTCATAGACTATATATTTCTTGTAGAATACAATGCAACATAAAGTTCCGTCCGACGGAGTTTTTTGGCTTGGCGTCCTCTTCTTATCTGTAAGGCATCAAACAATGCTTATAATGCGTCAGTTTACAGAAAAACTTTACAGTGTATAAAATTAATTACTAGTAAATTAGAGTTGTATTCTTAAAAATATACCAAGCCAGTTATAAATGTAGCTAATGCTTGATAAACAATGGGTTAAAACTTTATAAAAAACAAATAACAATTCTAACTGATTTTCCATGTCGTTCTGTACATTGGTAAGCCTTTGAATTTCACCGGAAAGATGGTCCTTAGATTGTCTGCGTTTATTTTTTACTTCTTTTCTTTTTCCATGTCTACGGTCTCTGAATTGAAAAAGTAATACATGTACAAGTGCTGTATAAAGATTTGATTCTTATTTTTAATTCTAGCTCGGGTTCATAGTATTTAAAATTAGATATTAGATCATCACGCAAGAGAAAGGTCGTGTCAAAAATGTTCAAATAAAACTAAAAACCCAGTGAACGTCATATTTGTGAGAGTTTTTTAGGACAATTTTAAAGCTGTCCTTGAAGTTTGCATGGGTTATCAAGCTTCATTGATTAGACAAACTTTAAACCTATCTGCTATTATAAGCACGAAAGCGGTTCCTTGTATGGTTTCTTCAAGGCATTTTTTAAAATCTTACAATTTTAAGATGGTAATTTTCAAAGTTCTGTGATGAAATAAAAACTATTCTGACAAACTGTAATAAGATTGTACAATTGACTGCCTAGATTTATGCTTGATTGACAAGAGATACAAATCGTATTTAGAAATGACAGTTCTAACTTATTTTCCATGACGTTCTTTTCATCTGTATGTCTTTGAATATCTCTGGAATGATGGTGATAAGGTTTGTTGTCCTTTTTTCCATGTCCATGGTCTCTAAATTAAAATAGTAATACATGTGGTGAATAAAGATTTAATTCACATACTTCCAGTTGAATGTTTAATTTACGTTCGGGCTCATACGATTTAAAATAAGATATTAAGTTACAAGAGAAAGGTTGTGTCAAAAATGTTTAAATAAAACTAAAAGACACAGTAAAAGTTTTTTTGTAGTCTTTTCTTAGTAAAAATGTTAAATTTTTAGAATAAAACTGTCTTTGAAGTTAGCTTACTTATCAAGGTTCTTCGATTTGACAAATTTTAAACAGATCTGCTATTGTAAGCGTGAAAGCTTTTCCTTGTATGGTTTCTTCAAGCTAAGGGGTTTTCTTAAACTCTTACATTTTAAAGATTGTAATTTTCAAAGCTCTTTGCTGAAATAAAACTATTATGGCAATCTTTGATCAGATTGAACAATTAACTGCAAAGTTAAATATTTAAAATATGAAATGTTTCTTAAGAAAAGTATTTGTAAATGGCTATGAATTAAGTTAAATGTTATTTCTAAAAATATATGATTGCATAGATGAACTCCTCCTATTAAAGTAAATAAATTCATATAAGTAAATAATGTTATCAATTAAAAGGAAACCATTAACATATCAGGTGTTATATTCTATGTACAATTTATAGTTAAACATAAACAATAACTTCTAGTTTTAAATTTATGACATTCTATTTTTCTTTTATAACATTTGAAATTTACTTATAGCATTTAATGAGATACATTTCATTTAATAAGTCCCCAGTTACCTCTGTATCAAATGCAAAACTATAAATTTTAATTGAATAATGACTGAATGATTTTGTTTCCTACCGTACATCCTGGGGTGGTGCATGTTCATATTTCTTTGCCGACTTTCCATGATTTTCCCGATTGTTGTGTTTGCTGGTAGGAGATGGATTGTTAGCATTACTATCACCGTTATCTGTTTTAGAACAACAAGAGCCCATTTTGTGCGTAGCATGTAATTACTGACGGTCTCACATTACTTCTAAATGTCCATGTCTTATACCAATTGATAATTTTGTATCATCTGTAAATAATTAGTTATGATAGCTAAATTGAAGATGTACGTCACATGTGTTAACAAACATGTTTAGATTTACTTTTAATTACAGATAAACAAACAAAGAACAATCGATTTTATTATGCCGCTTTACACAATTGATAAATTAATTAACAATATTTCCATCGTCATTTACAACATATTTTTAGAGAAAACATAGATTTACACTCCGTGTGTTCGTTTTAGGTTTTTCCCCACTGTTATAAGTTTGGGAATATTTATAAGTCATGTGTAATTCGCCACTCCAATCGTTTAAAAATCCGTTTCGATTTCCGATGACGAATTAATAAATAATAAGTTAGAAATATTTTAAATTCAAAAATAAATACATACAAAGAAATACTGCTATATTCTATGTAAAACCATATTATTCCTTGAAAAGTGTTTATTAAATATAAATGGTTTATTTTCGCTTTGAACAAGGAACTAAATTAGGATGTCTAAAAGGAAAATGGCTGATTTTTTAAAAACGACAGGAAATAAAGAATAACTAAATCTCAGTTATAAATAAACACAACTATCAAATCATTTTTTAAATTATTTACCACAAATAATATATGTATGATTATATTGTATAAGAATATTTCAAAACATATTTCTTACCTGAATCGTAAAGGCGGAAGTAAATTGGCGTTCAATTCTTAAAATGTTAAACCGGTTATTAATTCATAAAGTTTAACGCTCTATTGGCAAATGTAAAAGCACTGTTTTCCGATACACCTGGATGAAGACTATAGCTTTATCTACCCATTAATTTTTTTTCTATTTAAACTTGCGCCTTCGGTGTAGCGCTGTTTTATTTTGCTAAATATAGCCACTTGATTGTCAGAAACTTCAAACTTAATTCTGCGGACTTCACACAATATAAACTTATGGAAAGAATCGCATAAATCCAAAAGATAAAAGACAAAGCTTTTTTATGTAAAAACAGGTTACTTAATATATACAATTTTCTACTAAATGCCACATTACGTTACATTTCGAAAATAGTAACTTACAAAGAATTTCCGTAAATTCTCGTTATAGTTTATTCTTTGAAAATAGAAAGCATTACTTTTCATTTCTTGGAAGTGTTAACACATTTTGATAAATGAGGTAGTTTAGTCACAACACCTTGTGCGAATCGAAAGAGATCGTAAGATCATTGATAGATCCCTACTTTGACAAATATTGATATATGTTTTTTTGCTTACAAATATTATTTATTTATTTATTATCAAAGTCTCATCTATATACATGATACAAAAATTATAATAGAACATAAAAAATATCATAAGAATATGTATATAGTCATGATATACAGAATAACAAAAGACCACAAATGTGTAAAGTACATACAAATATATAGCATTTTATAACAAATACAGACAATTAACATAATACTAAGAAACAGTTGCAAATCGTATGGAAAACAAAGGTAAGAATAAAGCAGTACGCATACGACCTTGTAGTTAAAACAGGGGCACTTATGTCTAAAAAAGGTTGGATTTAAAAACAGCGAACTGACTTAAAAAATAAGTTAAGTGATAAGCATTTACTCCTTATTTTAAAAAAAAAAAAACATATATTATATTATTACCCTTCCAGATTTTTTCCGCCTTTTTGATTGGTTATTGATCACCCGAAAGAAATTGATATTACCGAGCCAGACGGGTAATATACACACTAAATTTCCCCGTTGGGTACCCGCGCTGAGGTGATGCGCGTACGGTTCGATTTTACCCGATGTAACTTCCGATTTACAAGCACCTTTTAACTGTCGAATGATAAATATTTACCAAAGTAAAAAGTAATGATACATATTCTTATCAGTATTGAAAACAAATATGACCCTGTGAAAGCTTGATATTAATTACAAAAAAGTGCGTTCAATAGACTACTCCTTTTCTCTTGTTTACATTCGTTAGGTACGGGAAAAAATACGTCATGTATTTTTATGACGTCATGTTGTGATGAAGGGGTACCCTAAAGGGAATCTTATTTCGACGTTTCATTTGAAACAACAATGATTTTTTAAAAAAATCGTCTAAACTCGGCAGGGGAAGGGTAATAAAATCATTATTTTGGTTTTGGAGTGATATATGTGGATAACGGCTCGGGTGATATAAAATCTTAGCAGGTAATATATCCACATATATCACTCCAAAACCAAAATAACATATAATATTATTTACAAAGATTATGTTTACGTCTATTAGGAATATCGACACAGGTTTTGGCACACATTCTAATTAAGGAGGTATGTGTAAACAGATAAACGAGTGTATCATTATCTGACTTGTTCTAAAGCTGTCGCCTTCTGAATAAAGTTACATTTGAAATCATCATCAAGTGACAACTGTAAGATAACATGAGTTTCTGATTCAACATTATTACACAAAATGGACAAGAATGGTTTTCTTGACTAAAGTTTTCATATCTTCCACCTTCGAGTCTAACGGAAACAGCACCACAGCGAAAACAACTGCATGTAGATCTGTGTAAAGGTGTGTTGTGGTGAATTCTTATTGTTTCCGCTAAATTATAAATTTGAAAATTAGATTTAGATAGGTTACAAGAGCAATTATTCACATGGATCGAGCATACATCACCTAAAGACTTAACTAACTAACTTAAATTTAAAATCGATTGAAAAGACAAGAGACAGCACGTTTTTTCTTTGAAAAAAAAAGAAATGAAAATATAAACAATTCATTTACATTTCTTCATATCGGAAGAAACTAATATATTCAGGTTTGTATTTCTATCAAGGTTCCCATTCGTGCATGGTATATTGCATTGCACGGGTCGGCACCTAGAATCTTCTACCGTTTAAAGTTGGTCTGGTTTAAAACCTATCAAAAAACGGAACGAGGAAAGAAACAAATGTCTTAGTTCAAGACTATTAATCATATTTTTATTAATTATTTAGATGTTTATGTATAGTTGCTCCATACCATTATCGTATAATGGTGGACAACAACGAAGTATTAACGTTTTACGCGAAAGTACCAATAAGTTCTATTAGATTTAAACTAGATCAATAACTTGCTTACAGTCACGTACGCACGTCGGCAATACCCTCTGAAATAGAGAAAAACAGAATCCTTAAAGAAAGCCCAACACGGCAAAATTGTAAAATGTTGCAGGCTCGGGTTTGATTGAGCCTGTTCATGGACGGTACTGGAAAGTGCAAGTTACCGACCACGCCTCCTACAACCGGCTTAAGCAGAATTCAACATTTAAATACAAAAATGGTTAAATTTTGAATTTAGAAACATCTGCATATGTGTTCATACGGCGGTTGTCATGGAACCTTCAATGTGACATAGCAGTTTCATTCCATGAAAAGCGGCGTATGGTCCCAAAGTAAAAGAATGCATGTGCCCTAAACGAGAAAACAATGGGCGGAACTAATAAAATGGAATTTTGTAAGGGGATCTGAGGTTATAAAGCCTGCATATCACAGACAAGACGTCAAAAGACGGATCAGCATATCCTAATTGTGATTATACAGTATTCAACTATCGCCCAAAAGGATGTCGATTGCCTGTCAATCAAGTTGTCGTGAGTTTTTTGTCTACATGCACAGTTCAAAACAAGTGTAAATTCAATGCAAGTAAACAATGGTTAGCGGAGCACATTTTAATCACAGGTACGTACTTGAAACAAACTATTCTTAATGCTATAGATGGGCTATATACTATAATTAGATTAAGTATAGTATATAGCCCATTATAGAACATTGAAAATTGTTTGTTCTAAGTCCATGTGATTTTAATTTATTGGAAGATGAAGACTTTATATACAAGCAGCATTTTTGAGGAGTGCAATTTACAGGGTAATAATGAAGTCACCGTGACGCAACTTCTAACTATTGACATAACTTATGACGATGGAAACAATAAAAAGACATCGAACTCGAACAAACAAACATGAAAAAAATGGCACTGGGCCTATGTTCTTAAATTTTATATTTAAAGCGTTAATTGGTAATTTCCATTTACAACGTAACCAGTTCGAAAATAGCAATAAGTATGTAATAATGTGAAATGAAAACGTTTTGAATGAAATAATTTTTATTTTTGGGTAGAATATCACACGTTGAATTTCTTTTTAAATGTCGATTTGAGAAGCCTCTGTATTAAAAGGAAACAACGGAATGCTGTACCTGAGGACACTACGGGCCATTAGTGTAACTATGGCGAGAATGGGTTGAAAATAGCAACACGCAACCCGATTGTTATTGAAATCTAATTCAATGAAAGATCGTACATGTAGTTCATTTTATTTGATATTTTTCTTTTTAAATAAAGTTGAATTAGTTTGTTACATTTTCACAATTATGCTCGTATTGTCTTTAGTTCATAATGCCATATGTTATTCTACCTATTTTGCATAATTCGCCCACATACCACATGTCTCGCGCTCTTCATATCAGAGAAAAAAGGTCACTTATTTTTTCAAACAGATTATTTTATGGGCTATTATTTTTCAAATTTGAACTGAATTAGGCATCTCTGATTGGAGAAAAAACTGGGGCAAAACTGTAAATATACTGCATTGAGTTAATTTCATATAAAATGTGAAATACACACAAATAGGGAGTTTTGCTTTTAAACATTTTGAATTTTAAAACAGCGAACATTATCTCAATTTTTCAACAATTTACCCATAACTATAACTATGGATTTACGCATCTATGACAATTTAAATGTAATAAACTTATAGAGATATGAATACAAGCACATTGCGAACATTCACTTTTTTCTTGTATGTTATCCAGAATTTATGGACAAATTAAGACGAAAGTTTTAACATTTTTCCTCACCCTTTAACCCTTTACCTCATATATACGCGAAACTACGCACTTTCGACCCCCCCCCCCTTTTTTAGGCCTGAAATAGTGAAAAAGGTCTTATTTTGGCCCCAAACACATGTTTTCGTTTGAGAAATGTTGCTAAAAAAGTGAGCACTTTTTCGGCGCCCACCCCCCCCCCCCATCCAAAAGATACATCAGGGGGTTGCCAGAAGGGGGATGTGCCCCCTTCTGTTTAGGGGGGTTTGAAGGGGGGCGGGGTCCCCCTCATCGCCAAGAAAATTTTGGACTTGTGAGAGGCTAAAAATGACTCCAGGTCGATCATAAGGTAACGTGTAACCAACGCTGAAAAGCCTTTGACTCTATCTCAATCCTTTGAGAAGTTGCAGCACTTTGAAATAAATTTTGATGGAAAAAATCGAGGCAAAATAGTGATTTTTGGCAATTTTGAGATGTCCCCTCGTTGCCATGGTAGCAGGAAATTTAAGACTGAGCATGTCGTTACAACGGCAATGGTCCAGTCAACATTTGTGCCAAGTTTGATTAGTATTGAAGCATTTTTCATAGTTTCATAGCAGTTTGAACTTGTAAGTGGAGGCTTTTCAGTGAAAATGGCCATTTTTTCACAATATGCTTATGGGGGAAAGGGTTAAATACAATTAGAATATAGAGATGGCAACGAGTAACCGATTAACCGAGTACTCGATCGAACGTCTGAATATCGGTTAACAAAAGTGATACTAGTATTCAATTACTCGGAAAAAAAAATGTATTTTTTTCTATTTCTTTGCGATTTAGAAAGAGTGTACACAATTAGTTCAGAAATTCAGAGTGTACATGTATCTTGATAAATACCTATTTGCAATCAAAACATTGCGAAAATGATATCGAAGCGATCAACAGTTTGACACGCGCATGGAATTGAACACCTCTTTGAGATGATATTTAATTACCGTAAATATAAATTGTGCATTCAATTTAATTGAAACGTAAGATATAGTGTTGATTTAATAAGTTTGTTTATTGGTTATTCTAATTTACCTCCCTTGCAGTCCAATTTATAGTTACGAATTCTATGAATATAAATAGAAAATGAAAGTAGTATGCAGACGGTGGAAACTTTGAAGGTCATTGGAAATCATCGATCCGAGATCGGAAAGATAATCGAGTACTCGAGTATTAGTTTCGGTATTTGCTGCCATCCCTATTAAAATATAAAAAAAAAATATTTCTTTACATCCGAAACATTGCTGAATAAGATTTAAGACATGGTAGCTTAAAAAGTAGTACACATAAGGGATACAAAGATTCGGCATTTTTATTTTGTTGCTGTTGAAAATTTCAATGGGGTAATTTGCGAGAATTTCATTTGAGATTTCTGCAAAAGAATGTTTCATGGCATAATGACTCACTGTGTTTAAACTTAGCTACATAAATAGTACAAATAGCATGATTAAATCTGATGTCGGATGTATATGAACAGTCATCTGATTATGTCTATCACACTGATATATTTCTAGAAAAAAAAACTAATTATTTGAATGGTAATATTCTATGGTATATTCAAAAAATATATACACAATTATAAATACAAAGACTGAATTGTATATATATATAATTGTGAAATTTGTATCTTAATAAATCTACTCTGTTCTCACAAAATACTCAAGAATCATTAACATTTTTAGATATTGTAAATCCATATGTATATATATATATTTCGTAGTATTTTAGTGTTTTTAACTTGGACGGAAATATTCAAATTCATAATCTCTTCTTATTTTCTGTTTTCAATAGTTTTGTTCAGATAACTTATCTCTTTATCTTTGTCATGGTACAGTTATTCAATGTTCTGTATTCGTTTTTCTAGATTCGTAACTTCATTTACACACTTCATTTCTATACAAAAAAACCCCCAAAAAATAACAAAAAAACAAAAAAAACAAAAAAAAAAACAACAAAAAAACAACAAAAGAAAAACAAAAACAAAAAAAAACAACAACATGTTTTACATGACATAAAAGAACAACAATTAAAGATCCTGTATGTTGTGATTGAGGTTGTTAAGTGAAACATTATTTGAGTGTATAATTATGCTTATAAAACAATTTTCAACCATCGGAGAATTTGTAAAATATGTATTGCAAATATTTGTGTGCATTATATGTAAGCATTAATGTATATGCATTCATTTCTTATTAAACAATTTGATCCGGACTTTATAGAAAATAAATTTCTAACTACCTCCCTGTATTTACATGAAATATTATATTTGGTAATATCTTTATAAAGAATGCTTTTTGGAACTTACAATATTGATAAATCTTAATTTGAGCATCATATTAATGATATGAATCCTTAAAAATTGTGTTACAGGATTTTTAACATGAACAATTTTTTTTCAATGTTGACCAGAAACAAAAATCAGAAAGAATGAATTATATTTTGTGGATGAAAATATTGGCGTAATACACAAAATATAGCACAGTCATTATAGCACATAAAGGTGGAAACAAAATGAATTTATATATTTTATGTACGTGTATTCCTTGTCTTAAAACATTCATTGATGATTCATGCAATTAAATAAAATAATGAATACGCAAAAATCTTATTTTACGATTCGTCTGTTACACCCCGGACACATCATAAGTTGTGATTATTCTATAGTGTTTTTAATTACCTTCAAGTCGATTCCCGAAATAGTTTTAACAGCGAATGTCTCTTTTATTAAAAAAAACATGAATAGTTTACGTAAACATAATAAACCATTCTGGGACAAAATAAAATACTATGTTGCTATCTTAAGAAAGGTTTAAACCGTTGACCAATATGAGTGTACCAATATACAGTGTATCACAATTTACTGCAAAGAAATGAAGACGCGTTGGTAAAACCATGGACGACGAGATATTTATTGCAGTTAACATGTGCTTTTGCTTGAATATGTTGTTTTCTTTTCTTGTGACATTAAGTATATATCTTTTTATAATTAACGTTTATAAGTCACAGCTTATACCAGTTACATTCATTGTTTTCTTTTTTGTGACAAAGCGTATATAAACAGTATATACGTTTTTTGAAATATCAACTTCAGAATTTTACCGCATTGCTCCTAAATAGCCCCTCAGTTCAATTTTATATTAATTTAGCACATGCACTTAGCATACTACTTGGTTTAAGTTATTCATTGTGTCGTTTTTCACCATTTGTTCTTTTGTTATTTTCTCATCGCTTGTAGGATCGTCCTTTGTAAGTATGTTGTTATTCGTGATTTTGCCATCTTGCATTGTTCTTGTTGATATCAATGTTTCAACGTCGTCAGTGTGTTCCTTTGATTCTACGAGATTACTAGTCTCCGATGGTAAATGAGAGACTTCTGTCCTATTATCTTGATAAGGTTTGACATTGCTTGATGTTTTTTCCAAATTAGTAAACATTTGTTTAACCTTGCCACTTAATGATTTCCTTTTTGATTTGATACTGTTTGATTTTTCGTCGTCCAAAATCTGATTGCCTTCATTGTCGATGCATTCCTCGTCATGTTTCTCGATTACGGATTTTACATCAGGCTCTGTCGTAGAAGGAGCTGAAGTTTCCGATTGATAGAACATCTCGTTGTTTTTGTTATAATGATTATCGTGTCCCTTTCTTCTTCTTGTTGTTATTAGAGAATGAACTCTACTGTTTTTGCTGCTTTTACCCTTACACTGAGCAATGCCTTTAAATAAAATGTTTCCATTTTCGTGCAAGTATAATACTGGCCATACTATGTAGTCTATGTAAATACCCGATTTTGTATAAGGCTTGTACAAAGTACTATCATGCAGTTCATCAGATCGATCAATATTTACATCAACAACGACAGGTGGATCCTGAACTGCCATACGCCAACACAAACCTATACTCTTGTTCAAAAATCGTTTAACATGTTGGTCTTTTCGGAGTTCTTTTTCGGGTAAAGTACGTTTTATTTTTTCTTTTATTTCCTGAAAATAAATGATATTATAAATATAGTCACAAGTACAAGTATACGTCTCTAGTCATTTTAGCAAATGCAAGCACTGTTTTCTATAATTAAATATTTAGTCAGCATAACTGGTAAAAACAAATTTTTCAAAAGTTTTTTTTTTTCAATCACCGATCCTCTTAGCCGCAAAAAACACAATTTAAGTAAAACTTTTAAAGTTTAATCACATTGTTTCCTTTTGCCAAATTAAATATTAAAATACGCTCACATTGGTTTTTATGTAAATACCTGTTTAATAATAGATTTGTGTACTGCAGTATTTTTCTTTCTTTGGTCTTTCAGTTGTTTTAATAACTCGACCGGCGGCTGCTGCCCCTAAAAATAAAGATCATGGAAACGTTATGTTTAATTTAAATAACGGTCCTGTTTCCAATACTATACAGAAGTTTGCGTTAAATGACATGAACATAAAAACGGCAACACTGAGAGTTGATATTATGTATATTTACATTAAATAAATACTTTAAATGACTAACATAAGAATGACAAAAGAAACGTATTCAAACGTTTCCATATTTTCTTGAAGAATAACAATTTTGATGTCAGTTGTAGGGTATGTATCTTAACCTTTTCCCTGATATAGACGTGTTTTGACGGCTTCCCCCCCTTTTTTGAGGCCTCAAACAGTGAAAAAATTCCCTAATTAGACCCCAAACACTGTTTTCCGTTTGAGAAATGTTGTTAAAAAACTGACCACTTTTTCCGCGCACCCCAACAAAAAAGAGTCATCAGGGGGTTGCCAGAAGGGGGATGTGCCCCCTTCTGTTTGTGGAGTTTAAAGGGGGGCGGTAGTGCCCCTAATCGCCAAGTAAATTTTGGACATGTGACAGAATGAAAATGGCCTCATGTCGATCTTAGGGTGATAAGCAACCGACACTGTAAGCCTTTTACTCTTTCACAATTCATTGAGAGAGTTGCAGCACTTTGAAATCAGTTTTGATGGACAAAAACAATGCAAAATAGTGATTTTTAGCAATTTTGAGACGTCCCCCGGTTGCCATTGTAACAGGAAATGTACGACTGAGCATGCTGTTACAGAAGCCATGGTCTAGTCAACATTTGTGCCAAGTTTCATCAGTATTGAAGCATTGTTCATAGTTTCATAGCAGTTTGAACTTGTTACAGGAGGCTTTTCAATGAAAACGGCCATTTTTCTCAATATGCTCATGGGGTAAAAGGTTAAATTAATCTTGTAATAAATGCAGACAAAAGTGGCAACGACATAATTTCGATCAACAATATATTTAGTTATTAGACACAAACAGGTATTTCCTTACATTGAGAAAATGCTTTATGGCATCTGTCACTGTATCCCGATCTTCATCGGCTTTTTTGATACAAGCTCTGTAAATGACCTGCAAAACAATATAAAATGAACACATTAAAATAATAATTATATTCACTAATATTGAACACAAAATTAACTTTCTTCGTTTTTTCTCGTTTTTGTGTATTTATTGAATTAAACAAAGTTTTTATTCTTACATAAAACATGTCTAAAAGAATACGGCATGCATCTTCTTCCGTTTGCCCACCATTTATTACACCAAAGGCGTCAGTCCATTCATTGTCATAAAGTTCTGAATATTGTTCAGCTAGTTTTGTAGGTCTGTTAACATCACTCAAGTCTGCAATATTAGGATTCCCGTCTGTAAGCTTAGCGCTAGCAATAGCACTAAGTCTGGAAAAAACATATATCATTAAGACATTGCCCTTTTTATTTATTATGTCCTTTCCTCTTATATAAAATACCCTTCATTCTTACATTTTTATGAACTTTAATATTTTTAATCACGTTGTTAAACTGGTACAAAAAGTTTTTTCATCTAATATAATTATTATCCGATCAAAAACTAAAAGCAAACGAATATTATTTCAATGGCTGATCTTATATATTAAGGCAAACTACGAATCTGTCAATGTGATAAACAAGAAAGGAGATACATTGGAATGGTGATTATGTAATTAGTCTAAAATTTTTGGGAAAAAAATGTTAAATTGTTGTTTTTTTATTTTGCAACCAGTTTCTTTCTAGTATTACAAAGTTTCGGAAAACATAACTGTTACAATGAAATATAATTATATTCAAACTGAACAATACATATATATCGTAGATTGATATTACATAGGTGACCTGACTCTGTTGTCAATAAAATGATATAACCCTAACGTTGGATTACTGATGATAGAACTAGTGAGAACTAGTGAGTAAGCAGATTTATCCGTAGTTTAGATTGAAAGAATGATCACAATATATTTTACCTCGTCAAGAGCGTTTCATTTTCCTCTTTCAGTTCACGAATCTGTTCTCTTTGCTTTGAAATCGTTTTATCAAGTGCCTTGCGTTCATTTTCATGTCTTAAATAAATAAATAAATAAATAACAAAACATATTATTCCACAGAATTAAGAAGCAAAACTTCATGCACTTTCAGCAGAAACTCTCTTTAAACACAAGACAAGATGTATAAGGTTATGCATATGTCATGGTATGAAAAGTTAATTCTGCAAATATACAGTTACAAAAGATAACAACGGTTTTACCATTTAGATTGCGTTCCCAAGAAATTGTTTTAAAATTTACGAAAAATTATACAGATCTGAAATCTAATTACAATTGTGAACAAACACGCGCTCGTGTTTCCATTTATGAATCATCATGTGTTCTTTAAATTCAGGTTAATAATTTATCGTGTTATCAAGTTATTAAAGAGATTAAAACAAATATGTCCTTATTCATAAATTGAGAGTCATAAACAAAAAAAAATAGTAGGCCTTTAATTTGTTATTTAGACCAAACACAAATAATGTTGTTCGCTTGAAAGCCAGAATGATGCTTTTGAAGTGATATGGCGATTTTAAAGCAAGACCGAAAGTGCCCCTCCTAGCAAAGTAAAGGCATAGGTAAGTAAAAATGTCGACCTTCGAAAGCATGGTAGTGACACGTACTCGGTTTAAGGGGTGCATGTTTAGGAATTAAAGTATTCTTTCAAATTTAAACTTTTAACAGTTGTGTGCATGTTTTTGAACTTTGTAATATTCAAAGTAAAATCTGGCGTGAAAAAAACCGGAATGGCGTGAAGAACTTAATATGATACATGTATTAACAACATTAATAGTAACCAAGATTAATGCCATTTCTGTAATATATCCTTATTCTAAAATGCATCTCTTGGAATCTTATTACACTACAATCAATACATTTTTAATAATTCTTTCATTTTCTTAAACATATAAACTAATGGAAAAAGATATCATTACTTTAAAACTTGTTCCTGTCTCTGTGTTCCAAGGTCCTTCAGTTGCTTTTCCAGGCTTTTCACTTCATTTTTGTAGGCCTTTTCTCTGTAAACACATTTTGATTATGGAATAAATCGAAAAACATCCATCCTTTAAAATGTAGGCTTATCTATCACCGGATATGCAACAGAGCAAGGTCATTGATATCTTGAGATACAGTCATGTTACACAAAAATGTATTATCATTTGCATTTGTAAATCATTAAGTTAATAGTATTGTCCTGCAAAATGTGAAATTCACAAATAATTTTGCTTTTACACATTGTAAATCTTTAATAAAACCAATGAACTTTGTTTAAATTTACTTTTGCATGTATTCTTAAAGGGCGATAATGATAAACAATATTTCAGCCAAGTCTACAAATTGGACGACCCAGTTTCTTTGTTCTTTGTACAAATGTGTCTCGATGCCCTTTGTCGCAATTAATACATGTATGAAACGACTATTTGTTTCAAAATGCTTACGATGGTTACTTCAGAAAAGTAACCGAAAAGGGAAAAGACGGTAAGATCGCGCAAAAAGAAATTAGTAACACATGAGTGACAACCTAAATGTAATATATATATAGGGACAAAAATGCAAGCACTTCTCAAAGATTCACTTATTTCTTGTATTATTCAGGATATAGGGACAAAATGGGTCGAATAAATTAAATATTTTTGTCCCCATTTAAGATAAATATTTTCGTAACTTAATGTGTTAGTGGTTGGTTTTGCGACGTGGAAATATTTGCGATTGCTGTGAATTGAAATTATTCGCAAATATGTGATTGCGCAAAATTTATTTCTTTTAAGGCAAACTTTTTTCTATCACTTGAAAACACGTTTTCATACGTATACAGCATCTTTCGTAAATAAGTTTGATTGTTCAGGTACTGAGATTATTTTTTCTCATTGCTTGTTAGTTTAAGTTTGGTCTTAACAAATCACAAATGTTTTAATGAAAAAAATATATGTGTTAATGACATAAAAGTTTATTCATATAACAAAAAAAATGTTTCAAAATATGATAAAGAAGTCCTTTATCATACTTAGAATGTATATTTCAATTAATGTTATAAATAATAAAGGTATTAAACTATTCTTAACCTGTAGCTGCCCAATTAATGATATTAAAACAGTATTAAGTTCAAGATATCATACTTTCGCAAATATTTCCGCACGCAAAAAAAATCAATTTTTGACATTCGCAAAATTTGTGTGAACATACATATCAACTCATCCAGCATTTACTGTTTAGACTTCTGTAATTATTAACTAATTCAAAGGTAATCAAATTTTTGTCCTTACCTTTCGTGTGTTTTGTCAGCCATTGTGACTTGTGACGGTGAAGTCGGCCGTTTTGCATTATCATGACTTACTTCCTCATCAGCCAATAATTTGTTTTTATTCACACGACTAAAACACGACCCCATTTCAATTATCTCTTTAAATATATGTTAACATTAAAAAAAGAAGCCGGTGACTATTAACATAATCAATATAAATTGATGAAGATATACACTTATCTTTAAATATCTATTTGAACTCCGTTAATTTAATGTTACATTCATTTCAGCGAAAACGAAAGTAAAATCAACGTTTTTCTTTTAAAGTTATCTTAAATGTTATCATACCAAAGACAACGCTCAACAAAGATTGTAGACGTTGTTTGGTTTAATAATTAAACGACAGCAGTGATAAACATTTCAATAACAAATCCATATTCCTCCTACCTGACACGGAAGTTGATTAACGTTTAAAATTCTATGAAATATTGTAACAATAAAGTAACAATATTGATTCAAATTCAATATATAATCTCTATGATCAGTGTGTGTACTTGTTTCAATCAATACTTTAGCTTAATAATTTACGACTCTCTTAAAATCATGTTTTGTACCACTTGATCAACATTCAATAAATAAACCTAGTGCTATTGGCTAAGTCCAATAACATTATTTCTCTTTACTTGTTTACATGATTAATATGTTATATCAAAACACAATATAAAGGCCTAGTTTTACAAGACCTAATTAGTCAACAATAGATTAAGAGGATAGATACAGACATAGTCTTACTTAATACTCGACTTAATCAAAATTTATGTGTTCATGTATAAAGATTATCTACTTCGATATAATAATAAAGTCTTCATTTAATACAATAGATAGTCCAAATTGGTATTTTTCTTTCATGTCGCACCAATATGAGAGAAACAACTTGGCCACAGACGAACCCTGTGCTATTGATATGGTCCAAAGAAACCCTTTAATTCTCTGTCTAACCACGGTCATAAAAAACTGGATAAAAGCAGGAATGCAATTATATCATATTTATTGAAATGTAGTTTACACTTCCTTTATATTCAATATTTTGATTCATTGATTTACGTTCATAGGTTTATGAAATCTTATACTCCTCTATTATATGGTTTATATGAACAGCATTGATCAATTGTAAAGCCGGAGTAAATCATTCTTCTATTGTTGAAATATATATCATGTATTATCAAAATGTCATATATATAAAGTGCGTATCTTAAAACCTTAAGTGTGTACATTGTTTAAATAGTGTCTTAAAAGTACGATATCTAACATTATATATTCTTTTTTATTGATCATGATATTTTCAAAGAGGTTTTAAAACTATGTTTTGGTGTAAGATGAGGTCAATCGATGACGAAACAATTTCGTTTTTTTACAAAATCTCTTCTTGGCATACGTATATTTTGTTTTGAAAATATTAAAAAATAATAAGATTTAATGTATATATTGGAAAGAATGTCAAATAAAGATGTTGAAGTATATCAATTTATTAATTGATCGAATATTCAATGAAGATAAAGCTTGAAATAAATTTAAATAAAGCAAAACGGCAAATGTTCGACAACTCTTACAATTTTGTTGACACAGTTTACATATATTATCCCGCAGTGTATTTTTTTATATCAATCTTCCCCCTGTCAAATTAGGTGATCACATGTATCTCATAGATTCTCATTTAATTAATTTAATTATTTGTTTCCTTTATACAGACCAACATGGTGGCAAAAACGTAATTACACCAGATTGATAACGAAATACTAGAGATATTATTCACTTTTAGATCAGTAATTATTCACTTACATTTTTTTATAAAGTATGTTTCCATAGTAACAGATTTTAATGTATACATTTACATATGTATTATGTATTTTAGTCAATGACAGGTAGTAAATAACTTCATTTGCTAATAAATAAACTCTTAACAATTTAAATCAGTACGTAATGCTGAAAGGGAGCCACAATAGCAATACAATTTGAATTAATAAGCGACCTGATTATACAAATCGTAAATTTTTTTAGTCATAAATATGACCGTAGTTGTACATTTAAAAACACGTGCACATCAATACAAACTTGAGACAAAAGACAATACAAGATGTATTTAAAAAAAATCATGTATTATATTTATAATGTATTTAATTTAAACTTAATAAAAAGGAATAGGAATGCCTGACATAAAAGCGCTTTTATTTTATTGAAAATATATAAAATAGTAGCTTTAGGATAAAAATGGTATTAAAGTCAATCGTTTATGAGAGAAACGAACGTTTATTTATTTATTTTTTTGAGCATACGGGCGCAGCCATGTTAACGATTTAATTCTCGCGAGATCGAGAATGTGATGTCACACACCCACTTCCGGTATAATCGCGCACTATGAAAAATAACAACAACAGATCGATTCTGCTGGATTTTTTCCCATTTATTTCACTGTGAAATAATCATTGACGAAACATTTTGTTAACTGATAGCTTGGAAAGTGTGTATCTATTGTGTAGCTATAATTTAAGTCAAGATATGTGACCGGATCACCTGTGTTTCGAAAGTAAATATGCCGCTGTGCCAGGCTTAATTGTGTAAACAAATCGACTCTGCTGGATTTCCCATTGGTTTAAACATATTTATTTAAGCTCGATTGCAAAACAAGTTCTTGCAACTTATATTAATCACTTTCGCGTCCGCTTCCTGGAACTAACCAGTACTGGTGTCATATGGAGAAACATGGTCGTGACCCGAGTAGGGCTCGAACCCATGATCTCTGGGTTGAGAGGCAGACACCTTAACTACTAGGCCACCGCTCCCCTTAAATTAAGGATTTCCCATTATATCTAGTTTGTTACTCCCTCCACTATTAATATATTCGAAGAAAGAGTATGTCTGAGTTTGAAATTATCCACTTTGACTGACAATGAATTTAAAACTTACTTATCCAACTTACGTGTTACTGAGTTCACCAGGAGCTTCAGCTCTACTGCGTTTGAACATCAGTATTTGGATGAAAGCCACTTCTAGATCAGTACGATCAAGAACCACTCTTTCAAATGCAGGGTGCTCTGTAACGCATTCCATATTATCAAGATTACCGATCGTTAGGTCGGAGCCATTATAATACAACATACATTTTCCCAAGGATTTATCATCATACAACAGTTTCCACAAGTACAAAAATCGTCAAGTTCGTACACTTCATTTCGTTGCAATGATTGCTCATTAATTTGATTTTGGATTTCAAGAAGCTCTGAAGAATCATATTTTGGCTCAAAATTGTACGGAAGAAGACCAACATTATTTCTCTCCATTTTTTTCTTGAACGATATCAAATTACCGCTACTATTTTTTGTACGTGAAAGGGAAACCGGAAGTGCGGTAATTACGTCACGCGCATCTGTTTTCAATACGATAAATATTCAAAATGGCGGAACCCTAGTATTTCGTAAATATCCAAATCTATGCAATTTTGTTTATTTCGTACAGCTTACATTGTTAATGTTTTTACATTGTTTTTGCGTGATTGGACTATTTATAGTTTGATCTTTCAAATGTTAAAAGTATTTTCCGTCCTTGTGGTTCCCTTTAAATAAACATTTAAAAACACGTGCACATCGTCGTTCAAATGACTATCACTATAACCGAGACATTACAAAGCTAAAACTTTATTTATGAAATACTTCAGTATTACCTCCTTGATGTAAGCCATTGTTCATGTCAGTAATAATATTGTTCCTGCATACAAATGATAAACAAAAACAATGTCTCTTTTTAAAGTACTGCATACCACACTGTTGTCTTGCGTAAATGTTATGATAATTGTGTCTCGCCAGTTTGTCACATAAAGATGGAAGTATAGTTAAAGCCACGATATGTATCCGTATATCCCTACATCACAGGTATAGATATAATCCCCCAAGAACTGTTGCAAGGAGTTGAATAGCTAGACAGAAAGAAGCTAGCACAGCCCGAAGGAGAAATTCTGAAAACGAACTCCATGTTTGGTGTATGTATGATGGACCTGTTCCCCAACATCCATTCTTTACCATTTTCACTTTTTCTCCAGCACTCAGGTTTAAAACAGATATGTATTTCCTGATCCGTGAAACTTCCCTCCAGAATGTAAAAACATTTTGTTTACACCATTAATACGAAGTGAGGTCTCTATCCCTTGATCTATCCCTGAGAGTATATTTGAGAAGAACACGTAGGTATCTGGTAGCCGTGAATTCACCACTTGTACTGTTTTAAGAGCGTCAATGACAATATAATGACATTAACACTAGATACGTCAATACCGATTACTGACAGTTTTACACAGATTATTTAACATAAAACACACTTTGATCAGTTGAGGGTTGTGTCATTTATACCAAGTGGAGTAAGTTGAAATCAGATCCGTCATTAAGTGTACCTCTGTAACAAAGAGGTGTCCAAAAAGGAAATCATAAAGACTTCATGGATATACTTTGGAAGGTGTCCCCTTCCTGTAGCACTGTGAAGAAATTGGCTAATGAATTTAAGAGGGGCAGGAAGAGTATTAGAGATGATTAACGGCCTAGGCGGCCAAAAGAGGCCAACAACAACGATGAAACTGCCGAAGCTGTGCACGCTCTGGTCACGTGCGACAGAAGGCGAGACCTGCGAAGCATTGCCAGGGAAGTGGGTATAAGCTTTGGTTCAGATTATGCAATTCTGACTGATGTCTATGGCTATCAAACGTTTCCGCTAGATGGGACCAAAGACAATTGACTGACAACCAAACACCGGACCAGACATGACATTTCAAGATATCATTTGTCTCGCTAAAAAGATGAACCTGATTTTATCTACCGGATCGTAACTCAGGATGAAACATGGTCCATCACCAAGGAGAAAAAATACAGTGCAATGCAGTGGTAAGCACCCTGGCTCACCCTCCGAAAAACTTCAAGGGGTGCCATCAGCAGGGAAGATGATGGCTTCAGTTTTTTGGGATAGTCAGGGGATACTCATGATTGACTATCTTGAGTAAGGTCGTACCATAAACGGTACGTATTATGCAGACGAATTAAGACGTCTGGGTCAAGCAATCGAGCGCAAAAGGAGAGGCAAACTGACTCAATGCGTTCAGTTCAGGCTCCTACACGACAATGCGCCAGCTCACACATGGCTGATGCAAATTGACGGCGGCTTTAAAATTCTTTCCCATCCCCATATTTTCCGGACTTGGACCCTCTGACTTCTACCTTTTTCCGAAACAGAAAACCAAGCTTAGCGGTAGACGTTTTGGAAGCAATGAAGGTGTCATGGAGGTAGTCTTGTTCTTAGAGGACAAAATAGACATATCTATTTTGAAGGGTTAAACAAGTTGGGGCACTGCAGGTGGGCAAAGTGTATTGATGTAAAGGACGATTATATTGAAACGTAAATCATAAGTTGGATTCTCTGACTACTATCAGATC